ATTAAGAGCTTCCGCCTTACAATAGGCGATAAATGCATTAACTGCATTTGCTAGATCCGCAGCTGTTCTGGATAAGATGACGGCATCATCAGCATAGAAAAGGGAAGCAACGGGGTGGCCTGCTAAGTGAGGAGGATACTTAGATGCTAGCTTCAAAGTGGAAATTGCATCATGAAGATAGAGATTGAACAGTCAGGGGCCAAGAGACAACCTTGTCGGACGCCCTTGGCCGTTGGAAATGGAGTAGTGGGGAGCCGCTTGGACTAGTTCGGACGCGAGCTGTGGTGTTTGAATAAAGGGAGATAATTAGGGAGAAGGTGCGGATCAATTCCCAGATGGGCAAGTTTGGACCATAATCTCTGCCTAGGAATGGAATCAAAGGCGGCCTCCAGGTCCATGAAAGCGGCAAATAGGTGGCCTTGCCTTGGAGCAGTGTATTTACTGGCAAGGTGAAAGAGAGTTAGACAATGGTCCATGGTTGACGCTGACTTTCGGAAACCAATCTGTTCTAGCGGTAGAATGTTCCTCTCCTGGACCCATGAGAGAAGTTCCTCCAGTAAAACAGCGGCAAATATTTCCCCGGGATGGATAATAAGCTGATGGGGCGATAGTTCCTAGGGATGTTGGCTGGCCGCCTTGAAGATCGGAACTATTATAGCTTCTCTCCAGGAGTCGGGGATGTCTAGGGCGGAGGAGATAGCGGTGAATACAGGAGTCAGGTGTTCGCTCCACCAAAGAGGATCAGTCAGGAAAAGGTCCAACGGGACCATGTCTGGGCCGGGGCCTTATTCCTTTGCATTGACATTATGATGTTGAAAATGCGAGTTGAAGTAAAGTTTATTGAAGAAGTGGGACTAAGAGAGCAGGAACTGAGGTCCAATGGGGATTGAAGGAGATCTGTAAGATGGTTTGGAGAAGCGAAACTAGTTGAATAATAAGCAATCCATTCATCCGCGGAAATCTGGGTAGCTGGATTGAATGGTGCCGAAGGTCTAACTAGGCGCCAGAAGGAGCGGGAGTCATGCCTCTCTACAGCCGAACGAAGAGTGGACCAAGCCTCAAAGATGTACTGCTGTTTCTTGCAATGAATCATGTTTCTATATGTCCTTTTAATATCTATGAGCTTTGCACGGGTTTGGGGGTCGTTGGAAGATTTGATGATTCTGACCATTTTCCTAATTCGCCTTCTTAGGGCTTTACATTCCTTGTCAAACCAGGGCGATTCAGAGAAGAGGCGTTGGTAAGTAGGCGAGGTGGTGGTTATGTAAGTTGTTGAGAAAGCATCAAGTAATTTCCGGTATTGGTCAGCGGGCAGGATTGGATCAGAGGGAACTGCAGACATATCAAATGATTTTTGTATGTCCAGGGCAAGAGAGGAGCTGAGGCTTGTCCATTTCTTTGTTTTGTATACAGGGTGGCTTTGTACCATGGTTCTATAGTTTGAGGAGACTGGGAGTGGCTCTATTAGGTTTAACATTAGAGTCAATGGAAGGTGGTCACCACCAAAATATTCAGCCACTTCCATTTTTGTAGAAATTGAGAATAGCTCCGGCGTCAATAAAATGTAGTCGACAACACTGGTTCCCCGGGAAGTGATGCACGTTAATTGCTGCGAGGACAAGGGAGTAATGTTACCATTTGCGATGCAGAGATCGTTTTCCATGGCCAGTTGGGCCATCAGCCTCCCGACGCATTTGTTATAGGATCAAGAGAGCATCTGTTTCCCAGGGGGCTGCAGGGGATTGTCCAGGAGTGCTGCGGGAGATATTATATCATCGTCGTTGGGACCTATTCTTGCATTAAAGTCGCCTAAGAGGATTTGAGGGAGTCCTGGGTTAGTTGTTTGGAGATCATGGAGCCAAGACGAAAGTTCAGACCACCTTTCATTGCGGTCGAAATCATTAATTGCTGGGGGCAGATATACTGTAGTTATCAACCATGGGCTTTTGGTCTTTGGGAGATGAATCTTTATGGTGAGAAAGTAAGGGGAAGATTTAATTTCCTCGCAAATAGTGAGGGGTAAGCTGGTTGAAATAAGACAGGCGAGGCCAACTTGGGGGCGACCCCTGTTGGTTAGTTTACGAGCACAGGAGCTAAAGGAGCAATAATTTGGGAGAACAATACTTTGTTGGGACCAGGTCTCTTGGAGGCATACAATGTCGAAAGAAGAGATGAGATTCATTGCTTCAGGATCCATTTGCTTTGTCGCCCAGCCGTTAACATTCCAGGAGACAATTTTAAGGCTCTGGGGTAGGTTGGGTGCGTCTTTCAAGGAAACAACTGCTTTTGCTTGATTTGTGAGTGAGGGTTGAGTCTGTTCGTATCTAATGATATCGGATTTCCGCGGAGATAGGGAGCCGGCTGGTGTTTGTCTCTGGTCTAATCTTTGTCAATTATTTCCCAAGGTGCTTTTAGGGATTACTTTTTATGAGCCGGCCCATTGCTCTCCATACATGGCAAACTAGCCAAATGTTCTATAGTTTCGGCTGTTAACTGTTGAATACTGACATTAGTGGTCACCGGGCCTTTGAAGTGTGTTATCTCTTTCCGTAGGTGTTTTTCCGGAACCTGATTGTGGCCTAATTCCGCCTCATCTAGATACCTCAGCTTGTCCCAAGAGCCTGGTGAATTCACCTTCGGGATGGTTCTCTTTATTGGAGGTGGTGTAGTGTTCTCTTCAGTGTGCTGGGCTTCCTTAATTGGGAGTAAATTAATCTCAGCCATTGTCTGAAGGTAACATGGCCGACAGGCCGCTGGGTTTGGTTCTTGTGTAGGGTTCAAATTATAGGAAGTCTGGTCCTTTTTAAGGGCGTCCATATTGATTTCCTTGTTTGTATCTCTCCCAGCCAGCTTAATTCTTAGCATATCCAATCTTTCTAATATTTCAGCTTGTATTGGAGATGGAAAATGGCGAAATTGCCTAATTAAGGTATTTTCTTCCGTGGAAAAAGATCCTCATCTTCATTCTCTTGAAGTTGCAGGTCTTGCAGGTGGGCATCTTTCCTTTTTAATTTTTGAAGCTCTCGCTTCTGGAGACCAGGCCGGGTTTTGGGAGGTTGTTTCTCCTTACTAGGGTTTGCGTGCTTGGCTTCCAGAAGGGGATTCGGTGGTGCCTTGTTTTCAAAAAATCTGAGAATTTTTATCTGGGCCTTTAAGAATATATATCTTGATCTGTAGATAAACTTGGCCAGGTTCTGGTCTCTAAATGTGATCATTGCTCTCATTGAACAACCATCATGATGCAAATAATCTACAGAAATAATGTCATATGGCTTTACTGCTCCTGGCAATATATCATTCAGAACGTTCAAGGAGCTCATTCTTCGTTCTTTCCCTGTAAGGAAGCCCTTTGATTTTGGGAAGTTTGTAAATACTAATATTGAGGGATTTAAAATCAGGTTCCAACATCTTGCCTGAATAAAGGTTTGCCCATCTTGTATAGTGTTGTCATCGCGATTGGGCATTGCATCGTCCCCATTTCCCGATTTGCTAAGCGGTTTGCTGCCTTCATTGTTAGGGACCACTTCTCCCCCAGACTCTGGTTCGCTGAGTGAACTGTTACCAGAACTCTGGGACGTTGCTTCCGTCCTCCCACTTAGTTCTGAATTCTGGTTCAGAGATGCCACCTTAGCCATTAGCTTTGGCGATGGCTTCTTTTCCCCTTCCTGCCATTCTCTTTTTTATCTCGTGCAGCAGATTTATTTGAGTCCAATGGGAGTAGATTAAATAATTTCTGCCATTGTTTATGTCGGCTTATCTTTATTTTCCTTGTTGTTTTAATGTTCTTAGTTTTCTTTTCCCGGACTTTTGATCTATTTTTTTGCAATTTCTTGGTTGTTACTGCTTGTCTCATCTTCACTAGTTCATCTGGGTTATGCACAAGTTCATCTGGTTTATGCACTTGGGGTGCATCGGTTGCTGTTGTCTCTTTTGGTTGGGGAGTAAAATTTTCCACAAGGGTCAGCAATAACCCATTTGTTATTGTCAAGTAATTTTTTATGTTGGAAAGGTCTATATTTATATCTTGGAAATGGGCCTGAAGATGGCCATCACTCAGTTCAGTTTGAG